ATCTCAGATTCTCCAGCATCTGCAGTTCCTACTATCTCTCAAGTCAAATAGTATCTCCATCTGAGCCCTGTCGAATCCTTTTATCATTTTAAGCACCGTAATTAGGTCACCATCAATTCTGCTAAACTCAAGGGAGAACAAGTCAAGGGCATACAGGAGGCAGAATGGCTTATTGGCTTTCACAGTGCCAGGGAGCCAGGTTCAATTCCAGCCTTGGGTTTCTGTGTGGAGTTTGCACATTCTCCCTGTGTCTGTATAGGTTTCTGCAGGCTGCTCTGGTTTCCTCCCACAGTCCAAATATGAGTGGGTAATGTGGATTGGCCATGCTAAATGCAGGATTATGGGAATACAGTAGGGGTCTGGGTCTTGTAATTCTGGTGCACTGATCTACTCTTTGTTTTTTTATAAAAGCATTTTAGACATCTAAGTATCATGAAAAAGTTTACTTAAAAAATGCCAATCCTCCTTATTTGTCAACCTTGAGTTAAATTGTGTCAGTTTTATTTCAGACAGTGCACCTGCCATCATCTAAAGACATGGAATAACAGAATAGTTGCAACGCAGTGGGTATTTGGCCTGTCCTGTCTTTACCAGCTTCCGGCAACAGTGATTCACCTAGGGCTGCTTTCTTGTCTTTTGTCCATTGCCCTGCAAGTATTTTCTCTTCAGAGAAAGCTCCAATGTTCATGAAAGCCATCTGCCTCCACCACACTCGCTGACAGTACATTCCAGATGATCCAAACATTTTGCCCTCAAATTTCTACTTGATTTATAACAAATACTGATTGGACAACACCACTGTCAATCAAATTGAAGCTGTGTTCTGACTGGAGTTAATGTTCCAATTCATCAAATTGAATTGGCCCAGTTTCACTGACACGCTGTAATCACATATTTGTGATATGCCTAAAATCATTATTTTGCACAAACATTAGTCAGTCTACCAACAAATAGCTGTAATTCATTGACTGAAACAAACACTGACAGGTTAAATAGGATGACCAGCAATTTATCTTATTTTATGTAGACAACACTTGAGAATGATAAGAACGCAGCATTCTTATCGTGACTTTCAAACGATGGCGTAAAACTAAGATTAGATTGTAATGTATAACAAAAGCACAAAAAAAGTGACAGATGCTGAATATCTATTAAAAGAACATGAATTCTGGGATTGAATTCTCCTGACTGATTGGGTCCATTAGATCATATGGGAAGTGAAAGGCCTGGTAAATGGTGCAGGGGGAATGTTGTAGGAAGGGGTTTTCAAGCTGCCATGCCACATTGACAGCCATTGGAAGCTTAGCAGTTAGACCACCAAACTGATGGTTAATTGATTCACCTAATTTTTAAAATTCATTATTGGGAAGTGGACATCACAGGCTGGGCTAGCACTTATTACCCATCCCTTGTTGCCCTTGAGAAGGTGGTGGTGAGCTGCCTTCTTGAACTGCAGTCCACCACCTGTGCGTTGACCCACAGTGCCATTAAGGAGGGAATTCCAGCATCTTGACCCAGTGACAGTCAAGGAACTGGGATATATTTCCAAGTCAGGATGGTGAGTAGCTTGGAGGGGAACTTGCAAGTAGAAGTGTTGCTATGTATGTGCTGCCTTTCTTCTTCTAGGTGGAAGTGGTCATGGTTTTGGAAAGTGCTATCTGACCATCTTTGGTGAATTTCTGCCGGCCATCTTGTAGACAGTAGGTGCTGCTACTGGGTGTCAGTGGTCAAGAAAGCAGATGTTTGTGGATAAGTTGCCAATCAAGCAGGCTGGATGCTCTCAAGCTTCTTAATTCTTACTGGAGCTGCACCCATCCACATAAGCTGAATTGTATGATGGACAGGCTTTGGGAAGTCAGGATGTGAATTACTCACCACAGTATTCCTAGTCCCTGACCTTTGTTGTAGCCACTGTGTTTATGTGATGAGTCCAGTTGGGTTTCTAGTCAATGGTAACCTCAGAATGTTCATAGTGGGGGAATCAGTGATGGTAACACCATTGAATGTCAAGGGGAGGTGCTTAGGTTGTCTCTTATTGGAGATGGTCATTGCCTGGTATTTGTGTGATGTGAATGTTACTTGCTACTTGTCACCCAAGCCTGGATGTTGTCCAGGTCTAGTTGCCCTTGAGAATGTGGTGATGAGCTGCTTCTCGAATCGCTACAGTCCATGTGCTGCAGGTTGACCCACAGCATGAAGAGTCACATAAGGATCACTGGACCTGAAATATTAATTCTGTTTTCCCTCCATAGATGCTACTAGTCCTGCTGTGTTTTTCCAGCAATTTCTATTTTTGTTTCTGATTTCCAGCGTTGGCATTTCTTTGGTATTTTTAGCGTCCAGATCTCTTTGTATTTGAACAGGGACAGTTTCAGTACCTGAAGTGTTGTAAGTGGTGCTGAACATTATGTAATTATCAGCAAACATCTCCTTTTATGACCATATGATGGAGGGATGGTCATTGATGAAGCTGCTGAAGATGGTTGCGCCTGGGATACAACTCTGAGGAACTCCTGCAGAGATGTCCTCAAGCTGAAATGACTGACCGCCCACAACCACAATCATCTTCCTATACGTCAGGTATGACTCCAACCACCAGAGAGTTTTCCCCCAATACTCATTGATCCCAAAAACAGAAGTTGCTGGAAAAGCTCAGCAGATCTGGCAGCACCTGTGAAGAGAAATCAGAGTTAATGCTTTGGGTCCCATGACCCTTCCTTATTGATTCCCGTTTTGCTAGGGCTCCTTGCTGCCATACTTGGTCAAATGTAGCCTTGATGTCAAGGGCTGTCACTCTCACCTCACCTCTGGAATTCAACTCTTTTGTCCATGTTTGAATCAAGGCTATAATAAGGTTAGGAGCGAGTGACCCTTGCCAAATCTAAACTGGGCATCACTGAGCAGGTTATTTCTGAGCAGGTGCTGCTTGATAGCACTGTTGATGACACCTTCCATCACTTTACTGATGATCGAGAGTAGACTGAGGGGGCGGTAATTGGCTGGGTTGGATTCGTCCTGCTTTTTGTGTACAGGACACATCTGGGTAATTTTCCACGTTGTTGAGCAGATGTCAGTGTTGTAACTGTTCAGGAAAAGTTAACTTTACCAATTAAGTGCTACATCCTGACTCTAGGGCAGTTTGCCCAATGCCAGTATAGCTCACCAATGCATGGAGTAAATCTGGTTGCCATCCCACGTGTTCTGAGGTAAGGGCCTTTCACAAGTTTTGCTCCATGACTCAGAGAGGATCCTGCCCAGTTACTCTGGTGGCAGCAGCAGTTCCAGCTCTCTACAAGTGCTCCCATGCCCCCAGCCCCCACCACCACGATCCCTACCACTGAGGCCCTTATTGGTTAAACTATCAACCATACTACTCCTACAATGTGCTCCCTTAGAGGCTTCAGTGAAGCTGATGAAAGGCTGATATTGTTAACTTTGGGACATTTGAGATACTTACAGCCAATAGTTTCCACTGATCCATGGGCAGCAGGCTGAAGAAGATTGACTCTTTGAAAGTCCCTATCTATTTGCTCCACCAATTGCTCGAAGTTGGATCTTTAGTTTTCCAAGACACAGCATGTGGTTAAACTTTCACAGATGCTGGAAATCCTGCAAGTAGGAATTTCTATCAGGCAGCTCAGCTTGAGGAGGTGCCCACTCTGTAGAACACTAATACTATGCAATTGATGCTCTCAGGCTGCAAGTGAGCTTCTCCATTCTCTCAGCCACAGTGCTGATTACCTTGACAAGCTTTCTGACACCTAGCACAGCTTTCTGTGTACTCTTGATGTTTATTTTCATAATTGGATCCCTGAGGTTGTCATATCTGTCCTCCTCAGCAGAGTTTGCAAATGATCTTGCCATGTCTCCTGTGTTGCCATGGCTATCAGAATCTGCTGTTGCATGTTTTACCATGTGCTAATCTCTCTAGCTGACTAAGTAATTGATGATGAGTGCTTATGTCTAAACTGTCTTGGAGTAATCAGTCCATTATGGTGCATATTCCATTCAGGCATTTCTTATGCCAGTGTTACCTGCTACCAAGCAGAGACTAGAAGAAAAATAAAAGGAACAATAATTAGGGCAGAAGATAGAAGTTGTGCACATTCAGGTAATAACCTGGATCTTGGAGCATAAAGCTATGCAGCTTTTTGCATATTTGTAAGGATGAATGAAAGATTAGAGGTCAAATGCAGACACCCTGCTGTGGTAAACGCCCAATCTGACCTTTCGCAGGACTAATGGCTCTATTTCGTCCGACTGATCTCTACAACATTCAACTCTCTTTGGTGCACAATAATGATGCTAGTTTCTCGCCCCATCTTATCCCATTATACTGTCAGCCTGCGCAAAAAGAGTACGAGTGACTGTTCATAAGTGAAGATGTGTTAGGTTTGTTTATATGATACGTGTTAAAAAAAGTAAAAAAAGAGATGGAATGAGCAAGTGGAGGTGAAGAATGTGACGTCAAGAGTATGTAATGTGAGCGAGAAAGAAGAGCTGATGTGCAGGTGGTAGTTTGTGATTGGAGACTCGTTTAAATGTATCACAAAGAGAATTGATGAGCATAACTGGAAGGAGAGAGAACTGTTGCAGTGTACCTTTGTGTCTGTAGGCTAAAGATGTGAAGGAGGGAAGGGACGTGTTCAAAAATGATCAGAGTGAATGGAAGAAGTGTTTTCAGGTTCTGCCAAGACAGCTGGTGAGATTAAGAGTTAAGCTCACTCCATAGCTGGTGTTGAGGGGTCTTTATGTATCGCACTGAGGTAATTTTTCTCAACGATTAATTTGCTTAATAGCTACAGTGACGTCTGTAGGGCTATAGTTTGCAATCAGTTATTCTCTGATCTTTAAGCTTTTCGAATCGCTCCCAGACCCCTGGTACTGGACACTGGACTTACTTAGGCAATGTCAAATGAAGAGGCAGTAGACAGATGTTTCAGGGCAAAAGAGTCTCTGTGCTTATTTAAAATACAAGAGGTAATTTTATTCAAGAAAATAGGCAATGTAATAACCAAGGAAATTGACACAATTAATCATACAGGAGAACAGTAGTACTTTAAATACATTAGTATATCGATAACCACTGTAAAAACACTATCCTACTGACACACAGAGAAAACAACAGTGTTTAATTTCATACTGTTTAATCAGAACTCCTACCTTTGGGATCCTAATGCACAGTCACCACCTGCCTTTCCATCCCTGCTAGCTAGATTGGAATTTTGGGGTCTTGGGAATTTAAGCTCACCACTGAGAAATGCAGTTTTGAAGTGCACCTGGCTCTTCCAGCTTGCCATACCTGGAGTGTGGATGAAAACCTCAGACTGCAAAGGTTTTTCAGTTAGGGTTGGGTCTGCTGATGTGATAAAGTGCTTATCGGATCTATTGGGTAAGTACCTGGTTTACTTTACTTTGTGCTGGTTTTGCAGGCCCAGTTTTCACCTCAGGTTGTGTCTGAGGACTTGTGGTATTGGTCGAATCAGTTGCTTGGGTTGTCAGTCTTTAGTTTGATGGTCATGGTTGGTTGCTGATGTTCTTGTGATTGGTTTTCTTGGTTCAGAAGATGCCATGTCTGGAAGCTCTTGTTCGGATAGCGTTGGTCAGCTTCCACTTCACGGATGTCCTTTGTTCTGATGAGGTTGGTTTGGCTTCCTTGTGCTTGATTCTCAGTTTGGCTTCTGTGATTCTTGGTTCTGGAGCTGCTTGTGGACGTGGAAGCCTGTGGGGAAGCTATTGGTACAGAAGCTTGTTGTAGAAAATGGCCACTCTCAGGCAAGATGACTGTGGTCCTCGTTATCTCTCCTGAAATCTGTGGTATTCATCGTGCACTTGATGTTCTCTTCTGAAGTCAATTGGCTTTCCAATGGTTAGAGTATGTGTGAATGGGTTTTGATTGAGGATGAATGTCCAGTATCTCTGTAGGCACCATACAGTCTGTGCTGCGTAGCCCAGGGTGTAAAAGCTGTCTCAGGCTAGGGTCTGTCGGTTTTGGTTGATTGTTCTTTTAGAGAGGAGGTGTACATTGGGATTCCAAGTTGAACAATAGTCCCAGACAGCAACCTCCATTCCCAGGCCTGCTGGTTGCGTGTTTCCCGGAGACACATTCCAGCTTTCAGTTTTGGTTTTGAAAATTTTGAAGGTCCAGGACTCTGTCCAAAATCCAGGGTTTTGTCCATATGTTTTAACGTTGGGGATTTTTGCTCAATTTTACAAGTAAATAAACGTAATGCCAGAAATGCATTGAGACATTGTTGTGCTAAAGATCAAAGAAATCACTAAGAATCAGAATGGTAGGACTGAATCTTTCTGTTTTTTGCATAAGTGCGAGCTGTGTCGAGTTTGGTGGACTAATTCTCATCTTGATGCGGAACAGGTCTTCTCACTGTATCCTACCAAACTCATTGTATTACTTGGCATTTCAGCCCTCATGGAGAATATCACATCTGATTTCCATCCCACTTTACCATGTGCCATTTCCAGAGCAGCTTACCACTCACTGGAGTTCCTGGAACTGACTGGCATCCTTGGTGCCATATTTGAAAAGGCCATTGTGCACCTGGACAAGCACTGTCAGTCTGGAGCTCTGCTGCACAGGTCTTAATATTTGCCCTGGACATCGCAGACAGCCTCTTTACAACAGGATAGAAAAAGTCTGCAAAGGGTTATAGGTAGAGTAAGTGAGTGGGTAAAGGTCTGGCAAATGGTGTATAAGCTGGGAAAGTGTGAAATTTTCCATCCTGGCAGAAAGAATGAAAGTGCATATTATCTAAATGGGTGAGAGATTGCAGAGCTCTGAAATACAGATGGTGTCCTAGTGCCTTAATCACAGAAGGCTAGTATGCAGGTAATTACTATATCCTATTGCAAGGTGTATGGAATGCAAGAGTTGGTGTTTATGCTTCAGTGATAAGAGCAGTGGTGGAATTGCATCTGTTGTACTATGTACAGTGCTGGTCACAGTACTTACAATAGGATAGTAATGCTTTGGAACAGCTCACAGAGAAGGTTTACTAGATTAATACCTGAAATGAGTGAATTGCTTTATGAGGAAAGACTAGGTTGGCTAGTCCTGAACCCTCTAGAGGTTAGAAGAGTAAGAGGTAACAACTGAAACATAAAAGATTCTGAAGGGACTTGACCAGGTGGATGTTGAAAGGATGTTTCCTCTTGTGGGAGAATCTAGAACTAGAGGTTATCATTTAAAAAAAGGGGTCGCCCATTTAAAACAGAGACGAAGAAACAGTTTTTCTCTGAGAGTTCAAAGTCTTTGGAATTGCCTTCCCCGAAAGGCAGTGGATGTCAAATCTTTAAACATTTTTAAGTCAAAGGCAGATATATTTTTGATTTCAAAGGGGATGAAAGATTATCAAGGAATGCAGGAATGTTGAGTTGAGGTTAAAATCACATCAGCCTTGATCTTATTAAATGTTGGTGCAGCCTCGAAAGGCCAATGGTACTCATGTTCCTTGTTTGAGTGGTCCAGTCCAAGAGCTGGTGTGTGTCACTGAGCACAAAGTGTCCTTGCTGCTGCATTACAATGATAGGTGCTAGTGCAGCCTGAAATGCAACATTGAGGTACAGAAGCATGATGCAAGTGGATCAGAGATGAGCCATGAGAGTTCATAGAAGCTGATGCATTGTCAGATGCCAATAACCATGGATGTGGGGTGTATGTGGCCAATGTCTAACATGCCGTTAGGAGCAAGCCTGGGCTATTTGAACCAACTTGCTCTGGTTTCCACATTGAGTTTCCCAACAGCTAGCTTGTATGGAAATTTTGGTGAGATCACAACCCAGGACATGCTGAGCTATGAATAAGGCATTTAAGAAGTAATAACAGCATTAATTGGGAACTCATTGCTTCCCGGTGAGAACTTCAGGATGCCAATTGGGCAAAGTATACAAGATGCAGCAAGATGATCTCAAGGTTGAGATAGCACTCTCCGAGCATCTTGCTCAATTCTACCACTCATTTTGCCTTACCCCATGCCACTCCGGGAATAAGAGTGCTTTGCAATTTACAGCAGCAGCACAAGTTGATAGCGCATGCATAGACTACCACACTATCAGATAACAAATCACTTTGAATCTCTGTTTCAGTCATTATAAATATGACCTCAGGAAGTTCTTTGCTGGTGCAAATCATCAACAAATTTTCTTCTTTCTGTTCTTGGCCTGTTCCAGAAAATGCTTATTTTTTCAAGGCAACATATGTTAACAAAGAGGTATTGGAAGCATTAGTTTTAAAGAGAAAGCTGGTTGAGCCAAATGGCATTTTCATATTCCAATAATAAGTTTATAACCTGATATGCAATTTGATCCATTAATGTGTCACAACTGATTTGTAACATATAACATTATGCATGGGTCACAGAGCAATAGTTAATGGAACAATCTAAGGGAGGATGTGTTTCGAACTAAAACACAATGGAGAACTAATGTTGTACAGAAAGCTAGGTCATGGTTTTGCATCAAAGTATTACACACTGTACTGGCAGGAAAAGAGCCAATGGAGACTAAATTCTTGCCAAATTTAAGCTACGGCAAGTTAACTCAGTTAAGGCCTAACGCAGTCCAGAACTGATCTCCTTCAGTTTTGTGATCACAGTTTAAAAATACATTCCTTCCTGCAATGATTAACTGTGAAATAAATTCTACGACTATTAATGTTTTGTGTTCTGGTCTGTGTTGTTAGCTGATTTCATGCAGGTGCTATGATCACCTTAGGTAACCTTAAACTAATTAGCATGGAGAAGTAATTCAGTATC